TTAAAAAATCCACGTTTATGGGTCAGATGGTCCTTGGAAAAAAATCTTTAAAAAATCCACGTTTATGGGTCAGATGGTCCTTGGAAAAAAATCTTTAAAAAATCCACGTTTATTAGACCAATGGTCCTTGGAAAAAATGTTTAAAAAAAATCCACGTTTATGGGTCAGATGGTCCTTGGAAAAAAAAATCTTTAAAAAATCCACGTTTATGGGTCAGATGGTCCTTGGAAAAAATTCTTTAAAAAATCCACGTTTATTCGACCAATGGTCCTTGGAAAAAATTCTTTAAAAAATCCACGTTTATGGGTCAAATGGTCCTTGGAAAAAATTCTTTAAAAAATCCACGTTTATGGGTCAGATGGTCCTTGGAAAAAATTCTTTAAAAAATCCACGTTTATTGTAGGTATGGTCCTTGGAAAAATTCTTTAAAAAATCCACGTTTATGGGTCTAATGGTCCTTGGAAAAAATTCTTTAAAAAATCCACGTTTATTGTAGGTTTGGTCCTTGGAAAAAATTCTTTAAAAAATCCACGTTTACGGGTCAGATGGTCCTTGGAAAAAATTCTTTAAAAAATCCACGTTTATGGGTCAGATGGTCCTTGGAAAAAATTCTTTAAAAAATCCACGTTTATGGGTCAGATGGTCCTTGGAAAAAATTCTTTAAAAAATCCACGTTTATGGGTCAGATGGTCCTTGGAAAAAATTCTTTAAAAAATCCACGTTTATTAGACCAATGGTCCTTGGAAAAAATGTTTAAAAAAAATCCACGTTTATGGGTCAGATGGTCCTTGGAAAAAAAAATCTTTAAAAAATCCACGTTTATGGGTCAGATGGTCCTTGGAAAAAATTCTTTAAAAAATCCACGTTTATTCGACCAATGGTCCTTGGAAAAAATTCTTTAAAAAATCCACGTTTATGGGTCAGATGGTCCTTGGAAAAAATTCTTTAAAAAATCCACGTTTATGGGTCAGATGGTCCTTGGAAAAAATTCTTTAAAAAATCCACGTTTATGGGTCAGATGGTCCTTGGAAAAAATTCTTTAAAAAATCCACGTTTATGGGTCAGATGGTCCTTGGAAAAAATTCTTTAAAAAATCCACGTTTATGGGTCAGATGGTCCTTGGAAAAAATTCTTTAAAAAATCCACGTTTATGGGTCAGATGGTCCTTGGAAAAAATTCTTTAAAAAATCCACGTTTACGGGTCAGATGGTCCTTGGAAAAAATTCTTTAAAAAATCCACGTTTATGGGTCAGATGGTCCTTGGAAAAAATTCTTTAAAAAATCCACGTTTATGGGTCAGATGGTCCTTGGAAAAAATTCTTTAAAAAATCCACGTTTATGGGTCAGATGGTCCTTGGAAAAAATTCTTTAAAAAATCCACGTTTATGGGTCAGATGGTCCTTGGAAAAAATTCTTTAAAAAATCCACGTTTATGGGTCAGATGGTCCTTGGAAAAAATTCTTTAAAAAATCCACGTTTATGGGTCAGATGGTCCTTGGAAAAAATTCTTTAAAAAATCCACGTTTATGGGTCAGATGGTCCTTGGAAAAAATTCTTTAAAAAATCCACGTTTATGGGTCAGATGGTCCTTGGAAAAAAATCTTTAAAAAATCCACGTTTATGGGTCAGATGGTCCTTGGAAAAAAATCTTTAAAAAATCCACGTTTATGGGTCAGATGGTCCTTGGAAAAAATTCTTTAAAAAATCCACGTTTATGGGTCAGATGGTCCTTGGAAAAAATTCTTTAAAAAATCCACGTTTATGGGTCAGATGGTCCTTGGAAAAAATTCTTTAAAAAATCCACGTTTATGGGTCAGATGGTCCTTGGAAAAAATTCTTTAAAAAATCCACGTTTATGGGTCAGATGGTCCTTGGAAAAAATTCTTTAAAAAATCCACGTTTATGGGTCAGATGGTCCTTGGAAAAAATTCTTTAAAAAATCCACGTTTATGGGTCAGATGGTCCTTGGAAAAAATTCTTTAAAAATCCACGTTTATGGGTCAGATGGTCCTTGGAAAAAATTCTTTAAAAAATCCACGTTTATGGGTCAGATGGTCCTTGGAAAAATTCTTAAAAAAATCCACGTTTATGGGTCAGATGGTCCTTGGAAAAAAATCTTTAAAAAATCCACGTTTATGGGTCAGATGGTCCTTGGAAAAAAATCTTTAAAAAATCTACGTTTATGGGTCAGATGGTCCTTGGAAAAAAATCTTTAAAAAATCCACGTTTATGGGTCAGATGGTCCTTGGAAAAAATTCTTTAAAAAATCCACGTTTATGGGTCAGATGGTCCTTGGAAAAAATTCTTTAAAAAATCCACGTTTATGGGTCAGATGGTCCTTGGAAAAAATTCTTTAAAAAATCCACGTTTATGGGTCAGATGGTCCTTGGAAAAAATTCTTTAAAAATCCACGTTTATGGGTCAGATGGTCCTTGGAAAAAATTCTTTAAAAAATCCACGTTTATGGGTCAGATGGTCCTTGGAAAAAATTCTTTAAAAAATCCACGTTTATGGGTCAGATGGTCCTTGGAAAAAAATCTTTAAAAAATCTACGTTTATGGGTCAGATGGTCCTTGGAAAAAAATCTTTAAAAAATCCACGTTTATGGGTCAGATGGTCCTTGGAAAAAATTCTTTAAAAATCCACGTTTATGGGTCAGATGGTCCTTGGAAAAAATTCTTTAAAAAGTCCACGTTTATGGGTCAGATGGTCCTTGGAAAAAATTCTTTAAAAAATCCACGTTTATGGGTCAGATGGTCCTTGGAAAAAATTCTTTAAAAAATCCACGTTTATGGGTCAGATGGTCCTTGGAAAAAATTCTTAAAAAAATCCACGTTTATGGGTCAGATGGTCCTTGGAAAAAATTCTTTAAAAAATCCACGTTTATGGGTCAGATGGTCCTTGGAAAAAATTCTTTAAAAAATCCACGTTTATGGGTCAGATGGTCCTTGGAAAAAATTCTTAAAAAAATCCACGTTTATGGGTCAGATGGTCCTTGGAAAAAAATCTTTAAAAAATCCACGTTTATGGGTCAGATGGTCCTTGGAAAAAATTCTTAAAAAAATCCACGTTTAAGGGTCAGATGGTCCTTGGAAAAAATTCTTAAAAAAATCCACGTTTATGGGTCAGATGGTCCTTGGAAAAAATTCTTTAAAAATACACGTTTATGTGTCAGATGGTCCTTGGAAAAAATTCTTTAAGAAATCCACGTTTATGGGTCAGATGGTCCTTGGAAAAAATTCTTAAAAAAATCCACGTTTATGGGTCAGATGGTCCTTGGAAAAAAATCTTTAAAAAATCCACGTTTATGGGTCAGATGGTCCTTGGAAAAAATTCTTAAAAAAATCCACGTTTATGGGTCAGATGGTCCTTGGAAAAAATTCTTTAAAAAATCCACGTTTATGGGTCAGATGGTCCTTGGAAAAAATTCTTTAAAAAATCCACGTTTATGGGTCAGATGGTCCTTGGAAAAAATTCTTTAAAAAATCCACGTTTATGGGTCAGATGGTCCTTGGAAAAAATTCTTTAAAAAATCCACGTTTATGGGTCAGATGGTCCTTGGAAAAAATTCTTTAAAAAATCCACGTTTATGGGTCAGATGGTCCTTGGAAAAAATTCTTTAAAAAATCCACGTTTATGGGTCAGATGGTCCTTGGAAAAAAATCTTTAAAAAATCCACGTTTATGGGTCAGATGGTCCTTGGAAAAAATTCTTTAAAAAATCCACGTTTATGGGTCAGATGGTCCTTGGAAAAAATTCTTTAAAAAATCCACGTTTATGGGTCAGATGGTCCTTGGAAAAAATTATTTAAAAAATCCACGTTTATGGGTCAGATGGTCCTTGGAAAAAATTCTTTAAAAAATCCACGTTTATGGGTCAGATGGTCCTTGGAAAAAAAACTTTAAAAAATCCACGTTTATGGGTCAGATGGTCCTTGGAAAAAATTCTTTAAAAAATCCACGTTTATGGGTCAGATGGTCCTTGGAAAAAATTCTTTAAAAAATCCACGTTTATGGGTCAGATGGTCCTTGGAAAAAATTCTTTAAAAAATCCACGTTTATGGGTCAGATGGTCCTTGGAAAAAATTCTTTAAAAAATCCACGTTTATGGGTCAGATGGTCCTTGGAAAAAATTCTTTAAAAAATCCACGTTTATTGATCAGATGGTCCTTCGAAAAAAATCTTTAAAAAATCCACGTTTATTGTCCTTGGAAAAAATTCTTTAAAAAAATCCACGTTTATTGTCCTTGGAAAAAATTCTTTAAAAAAATCCACGTTTATCAGACCAATGGTCCTTGGAAAAAATTCTTTAAAAAAATCCACGTTTATGGTCCTTGGAAAAAATTATTTAAAGAATCCACGTTTATTCGACCAATGGTCCTTGGAAAAAATTCTTTAAAAAATCCACGTTTATGGGTCAGAAGGTCCTTAGAAAAAATTCTTTAAAAAATCCACGTTTGGATCAGATGGTCCTTGGAAAAAATTCTTTAAAAATCCACGTTTATGGATCAGATGGTCCTTGGAAAAAATTCTTTAAAAAATCCACGTTTATGGGTCAGATGGTCCTTGGAAAAAATTCTTTAAAAAATCCACGTTTAAAGGTTAGAAGGTCCTTGGAAAAATTCTTTAAAAAATCCACGTTTATTAGACCATTGGTCCTTGGAAAAAAATTCTTTAAAAAATCCAGGTTTATTGGTCAGATGGTCCTTGGAAAAAAATTCTTTAAAAAATCCGCGTTTATGGTCCTTGGAAAAAATTCTTTAAAAAATCCACGTTTATGGGTACGATGGTCCTTGGAAGAATTCTTTAAAAAGTCCAAGTTCTTAAAAAAAATAAATATTCCACGTTTATGGGTCAGAAGGTCCTTGGAAAATAATCTTTAACAAAGCCACGTCTTCTGCCTACAGAAATCCCCCAGAGGCACCTCTTTTTTTCAGAAGTCAGTTGAATGGCCTCAAATCTTTCTTCGATCCCTTCTAACCAGAACTATTATAAAAAACATTATTTCTGATATTTGCAACATTTATTTGGAAATCATTCAAATAGCCATTCGAGTTATCGGGAAAACTTAGCCACCGGGACCAACTTTCCTATAGGATTTCTGAAAAAAAGAAAGATTTCATTTAGTATTTGACTAGACAAGGTTTTTGCATTTAATTTCTTCTTGATATGATACATACCGGTTCGGCAGCGGCGGGACTTGAGAATATCACAACGGCCATTAGGCCAACTAAAATTGCAAAATACTTCATGATGAGTTCGGTATTTTCCTCTGAGCTACAATGGCAATGTGGAGCTGCTTTTATATGATTTGGAGAAAATCTACACCTTCAAGAGGAGCAACAACTGAGAATATATGAGAAGTAGACGTAAAATTTGAATACGTTAGTGGGAATATTAATTCCGAACGTGACTGGTATTTAATTAAATTAAAAATTAATTATCTGTCATGTGCCCTTTCGATGTGGATTATTTTAGAATTTTTTTGAAGGACCATCAGACCCATAAACGTGGATTTTTTAAAGAATTTTTTCCAAGGACCATTGGTCGAATAAACGTGGATTTTTAAAGAATTTTTTCCAAGGACCATTGGTCGAATAAACGTGGATTTTTTAAAGAATTTTTTTCCAAGGACCATTGGTCGAATAAACGTGGATTTTTTAAAGAATTTTTTCTAAGGACCATTGGTCGAATAAACGTGGATTTTTTAAAGAATTTTTTCCAAGGACCATTGGTCGAATAAACGTGGATTTTTAAAGAATTTTTTCCAAGGACCATTGGTCGAATAAACGTGGATTTTTTAAAGAATTTTTTTCCAAGGACCATTGGTCGAATAAACGTGGATTTTTTAAATAATTTTTTCTAAGGACCATTGGTCGAATAAACGTGGATTTTTTAAAGAATTTTTTCTAAGGACCATTGGTCTAATAAACGTGGACTTTTAAAGAATTTTTTCTAAGGACCATTGGTCGAATAAACGTGGATTTTTTAAAGAATTTTTTCCAAGGACCATTGGTCGAATAAACGTGGATTTTTTAAAGAATTTTTTCCAAGGACCATTGGTCGAATAAACGCGGATTTTTTAAAGAATTTTTTCCAAGGACCATTGGTCGAATAAACGTGGATTTGGTAAAGATTTTTTTCCAAGGACCATTGGTCTAATAAACGTGGACTTTTAAAGAATTTTTTCCAAGGACCATTGGTCGAATAAACGTGGATTTTTTAAAGAATTTTTTCCAAGGACCATTGATCGAATAAACGTGGATTTTTTAAAGAATTTTTTCCAAGGACCATTGGTCGAATAAACGCGGATTTTTTAAAGAATTTTTTCCAAGGACCATTGGTCGAATAAACGTGGATTTGGTAAAGATTTTTTTCCAAGGACCATTGGTCTAATAAACGTGGACTTTTAAAGAATTTTTTCCAAGGACCATTGGTCGAATAAACGTGGATTTTTTAAAGAATTTTTTCCAAGGACCATTGGTCGAATAAACGTGGATTTTTTAAAGAATTTTTTCCAAGGACCATTGGTCGAATAAACGTGGATTTTTTAAAGAATTTTTTCCAAGGACCATTGGTCGAATAAACGTGGATTTTTTAAAGAATTTTTTCCAAGGACCATTGGTCGAATAAACGTGGATTTTTTAAAGAATTTTTTCCAAGGACCATTGGTCGAATAAACGTGGATTTTTTAAAGAATTTTTTCCAAGGACCATTGGTCGAATAAACGTGGATTTTTTAAAGAATTTTTTCCAAGGACCATTGGTCGAATAAACGTGGATTTTTTAAAGAATTTTTTCCAAGGACCATTGGTCGAATAAACGTGGATTTTTTAAAGAATTTTTTCCAAGGACCATTGGTCGAATAAACGTGGATTTTTTAAAGAATTTTTTCCAAGGACCGTTGGTCGAATAAACATGGATTTTTTAAAGAATTTTTTCCAAGGACCGTTGGTCGAATAAACGTGGATTTTTTAAAGAATTTTTTCCAAGGACCATTGGTCGAATAAACGTGGATTTTTTAAAGAATTTTTTCCAAGGACCATTGGTCGAATAAACGTGGATTTTTTAAAGAATTTTTTCCAAGGACCATTCGTCGAATAAACGTGGATTTTTTAAAGAATTTTTTCCAAGGACCATTCGTCGAATAAACGTGGATTTTTTAAAGAATTTTTTCCAAGGACCATTGGTCGAATAAACGTGGATTTTTTAAAGAATTTTTTCCAAGGACCATTGGTCGAATAAACGTGGATTTTTAAAGAATTTTTTCCAAGGACCATTGGTCGAATAAACGTGGATTTTTTAAAGAATTTTTTCCAAGGACCATTGGTCGAATAAACGTGGATTTTTTAAAGAATTTTTTCCAAGGACCATTGGTCGAATAAACGTGGATTTTTTAAAGAATTTTTTCCAAGGACCATTGGTCGAATAAACGTGGATTTTTAAAGAATTTTTTCCAAGGACCATTGGTCGAATAAACGTGGATTTTTTAAAGAATTTTTTCCAAGGACCGTTGGTCGAATAAACGTGGATTTTTTAAAGAATTTTTTCCAAGGACCGTTGGTCGAATAAACGTGGATTTTTTAAAGAATTTTTTCCAAGGACCGTTGGTCGAATAAACGTGGATTTTTTAAAGAATTTTTTCCAAGGACCATTGGTCGAATAAACGTGGATTTTTTAAATAATTTTTTCCAAGGACCATTGGTCGAATAAACGTGGATTTTTTAAAGAATTTTTTCCAAGGACCATTGGTCGAATAAACGTGGATTTTTTAAAGAATTTTTTCCAAGGACCGTTGGTCGAATAAACGTGGATTTTTTAAAGAATTTTTTCCAAGGACCGTTGGTCGAATAAACGTGGATTTTTTAAAGAATTTTTTCCAAGGACCGTTGGTCGAATAAACGTGGATTTTTTAAAGAATTTTTTCCAAGGACCATTCGTCGAATAAACGTGGATTTTTTAAAGAATTTTTTCCAAGGACCATTGGTCGAATAAACGTGGATTTTTTAAAGAATTTTTTCCAAGGACCATTGGTCGACCATTGGTCGAATAACGTGGATTTTTTAAAGAATTTTTTCCAAGGACCATTGGTCGAATAAACGTGGATTTTTTAAAGAATTTTTTCCAAGGACCATTGGTCGAATAAACGTGGATTTTTTAAAGAATTTTTTCCAAGGACCATGGTCGAATAAACGTGGATTTTTTAAAGAATTTTTTCCAAGGACCATTGGTCGAATAAACGTGGATTTTTTAAAGAATTTTTTCCAAGGACCATTCGGTCGAATAAACGTGGATTTTTTAAAGAATTTTTTCCAAGGACCATTGGTCGAATAAACGTGGATTTTTTAAAGAATTTTTTCCAAGGACCATTGGTCGAATAAACGTGGATTTTTTAAGAATTTTTTTCCAAGGACCATTGGTCGAATAAACGTGGATTTTTTAAAGAATTTTTTCCAAGGACCATTGGTCGAATAAACGTGGATTTTTTAAAGAATTTTTTTCCAAGGACCATTGGTCGAATAAACGTGGATTTTTTAAAGACTTTTTTCCAAGGACCATTGGTCGAATAAACGTGGATTTTTTTAAAGAATTTTTTCCAAGGACCATTGGTCGAATAAACGTGGATTTTTAAAGAATTTTTTCCAAGGACCATTGGTCGAATAAACGTGGATTTTTTAAAGAATTTTTTCCAAGGACCGTTGGTCGAATAAACGTGGATTTTTTAAAGAATTTTTTCCAAGGACCGTTGGTCGAATAAACGTGGATTTTTTAAAGAATTTTTCCAAGGACCATTGGTCGAATAAACGTGGATTTTTTAAATAATTTTTTCCAAGGACCATTGGTCGAATAAACGTGGATTTTTTAAAGAATTTTTTCCAAGGACCATTGGTCGAATAAACGTGGATTTTTTAAAGAATTTTTTCCAAGGACCGTTGGTCGAATAAACGTGGATTTTTTAAAGAATTTTTTCCAAGGACCGTTGGTCGAATAAACGTGGATTTTTTAAAGAATTTTTCCAAGGACCATTCGTCGAATAAACGTGGATTTTTTAAAGAATTTTTCCAAGGACCATTGGTCGAATAAACGTGGATTTTTAAAGAATTTTTTCCAAGGACCATTGGTCGAATAAACGTGGATTTTTTAAAGAATTTTTTCCAAGGACCATTGGTCGAATAAACGTGGATTTTTAAAGAATTTTTTCCAAGGACCGTTGGTCGAATAAACGTGGATTTTTTAAAGAATTTTTTCCAAGGACCGTTGGTCGAATAAACGTGGATTTTTTAAAGAATTTTTTCCAAGGACCGTTGGTCGAATAAACGTGGATTTTTTAAAGAATTTTTTCCAAGGACCATTGGTCGAATAAACGTGGATTTTTTAAATAATTTTTTCCAAGGACCATTGGTCGAATAAACGTGGATTTTTTAAAGAATTTTTTCCAAGGACCATTGGTCGAATAAACGTGGATTTGGTAAAGATTTTTTTCCAAGGACCATTGATCGAATAAACGTGGATTTTTTAAAGAATTTTTTCCAAGGACCATTGGTCGAATAAACGCGGATTTTTTAAAGAATTTTTTCCAAGGACCATTGGTCGAATAAACGTGGAGTTTTTAAAGAATTTTTTCCTAGGGCCAACTGACACATCAACGTGGATTTTTTAAAGAATTTTTTCCAAGGACCATTGGTCGAATAAACGTGGATTTTTTAAAGAATTTTTTCCTAGGGCCAACTGACACATCAACGTGGATTTTTTAAAGAATTTTTTCCAAGGACCATTGGTCGAATAAACGTGGATTTTTTAAAGAATTTTTTCCAAGGACCATTGGTCGAATAAACGTGGATTTTTTAAAGAATTTTTTCCAAGGACCATTGGTCGAATAAACGTGGATTTTTTAAAGAATTTTTTCCAAGGACCATTGGTCGAATAAACGTGGATTTTTTAAAGAATTTTTTCCAAGGACCATTGGTCGAATAAACGTGGATTTTTTAAAGAATTTTTTCCAAGGACCATTGGTCGAATAAACGTGGATTTTTTAAAGAATTTTTTCCAAGGACCGTTGGTCGAATAAACGTGGATTTTTTAAAGAATTTTTTCCAAGGACCGTTGGTCGAATAAACGTGGATTTTTTAAAGAATTTTTTCCAAGGACCATTGGTCGAATAAACGTGGATTTTTTAAAGATTTTTTTCCAAGGACCATTGGTCGAATAAACGTGGATTTGGTAAAGATTTTTTTCCAAGGACCATTGGTCTAATAAACGTGGACTTTTAAAGAATTTTTTCCAAGGACCATTGGTCGAATAAACGTGGATTTTTTAAAGAATTTTTTCCAAGGACCATTGAT